TTCATAGTTTCTATTTCTGAAACAAGTGTAAATTGAATAGATCTATTGTTAAGAATAACAATGGATTTTTGACCACAGGGTGTGACGAGCGGGGTTTCTGGAAACCCCTGCTTCTACATCCCGCAAACAAAGTCCATTGTTATTCGTAACAATAGAAATTGATTATTTTTTAAATAGCATGAGCATAAGAAATTACTAATAGTGTTCACTACAAATTGTTTCAAGATATTAAAAAAACACATTTTAGGAAATTCCAATTGCGAAAAAAAAATTAAGAATCTATTTTGAATACAAAATTATCCTTTAAATACTCCTTTGCTTGAAGATATATTTTTTTTTATCCCAGTCATATGTCTCTATTCTAAATTCTAAAGCATTGAAAAACGGGGATTCTAATTCCCGGACCCCCCCCCCCCCCTTCCCCCCCCGGTTACCCAGTGGCCGATCAGGGGGGTGGAGGTTCCGCGGGTTGTACCCGACTTTTATTTAAAGGATCAATGCATTTGAATGGTTGGACCCCCCTTTTCTCTCCTGAGTTGGGAACCCCCGGCTGGATCAGCCCCTGCTTGCCACCAAAAATGGACCGAGTTCCTAAATATTAAATCTGAATCTTTGTATGTTGAACGTGTCTGGTAGTCGGGTTTCTAATGCAGACACACCTTTCACTTAGTATGTCCGAATATGAATAGGTTTTTTTATTCCCGAGGAAAGGGGGAGGGGCTTAAAACCGTAAGATATAAAATAAAGTTAATTTTATGATTACCTTTATCAAACTGATACAAGTAAGTACTTTGGGTTATAATATTGTCTTCATCTTAAGTCTCTTCTACCAAATCCAACGCTTGCCACAAAATGTCGACCGTCTTATACCCGTCCATATTGACAACTAGATACAAGGAGCATGATGCATTTTTTGTTTGTAATAAGAATACCTTGACCTGCTGATCCATATTAGCACACAGATTTAACGGGAATATGCAAAACAACTTTGACATTTGTAAAATATACTCACTTGTCAAAGTTTGAACGAAGATAACCAAAGAAAGGTTACTAGTGGGGTTTCATGTAATAAAAAAAAATTCTTATAAATCATGGTTTGGTATTGTCAATAAATATCCTATCGTATTTTTTTTTTTTAATAATGTTAACAAATATAGGGTTTAGAATGGGGTGTAAGTTAGTTATACACCTCGGGATACGGCGTGTCTGGATAAGAAACCCCTGCGGCCTTCGGCCGACGGGGTTTCTTATCCAGACACACCTATCCCGAGGTGTATAACTATTACATAAATAATTCTAAACTTTATTGTGGATAAGGCATTCCCGCCAAAATGTTACAAAACAAAGGAAAGCATGCAAAACAAAGAAACTCAAGCTGGTCTGGTAGGGATGATCCGGCTCAGATCACCCCTGGTAGAACAAAGGCGCTGGGATGTAATAGTCATTAAGAACTAATAAAAAATCATTTATCCATGACTAAAATATCAATTAGTACACATCAATGGATTAGTGTTAAGACGTCATTAACAGTCTGAGAAAAACACGACCTTGAGCAATGCCAAAATATAGGTATCGACAAATTGTTGGACCGTGAATGTACACATGTGTATAACAATAATATTTAGTCGGCTTTTACTTTATTGATAACAAATCAATATTTATACATATCAAAACAATATTCAAAGATCTAACAACAGTGCTGAATTGGTAACCTTTTAGAATAAGTTTATTGAAAGGATCGATAAGTTTACCCGGATCGTAATTAAAATTACGGGTTGGGAAAATACATCATCGGTCAAATTAAAATGTGCTATTCCGTTTGTTATAATTGTTCTACAGGTACAGCTAAACTTCCAAACTTAATCTCTGTATCTACGAAATATTTAGTAAAGGTTTTAAGTAAGTTGTGGTAACGAAATCCTGACTTAAGGATGTACACCTCTGAGGAGCCTAACATTTCTAGAATTAAACTTTTTCTTAACCTGATTTTTGGGTTTATATGACTGTAAGAAAGTAATTGATGAAGAAAAAAATCATATGGTGGTGAACCTTTTTTTTGCTACGGTCATTTGAAAGTACACCATTTTTAATGATTTTCCCATTTTTCATCAAATTTTACCCATTTTAGGGCTATTATCATGAAAAAAATCACAGTTTCACAATTAAACTTTTTTTCACACTTTCACTAAAGATGAAGTGAACCAATCTGAATAAATTTAACTTAAAAAAACTATAGGTTAGTGTTAATATTAGAAAGTTTTATAAAATTTTGTTGCTTTTTCATATCAAATTGACCATGTTGTCAATTTTGTAAATTATGGATTTTTCCTTTTTTTAGAACAAAAATCATATTGTTTTAATTTCTTTGCTATCAATGAAAAAATACATATCTGAGAATTTTGAAAAGACAAAATTGATATGGGATGTACATATTTTTTGGTAAAATCATTTTTTTGTACCCCTCACCCATTTTCTCAACATTTTGGCTGATGAGACTGACCGGATTGGTTGAAAATTTTATTACTCAAAAACTACTTATTGGAAGTACAGTTTTTTTCACAGACATTAGTTTGATTATTATATGTTTTAAATTCATTGATATTTTCCACTTCTACCACATGTTTTGGAAATAATTCCCGAACGAGATTTCAATGAGACTGAAACATCAGAAGAATACATCCTTAATAATTTACTATTAATACATTACGCTCATTGAGATCTAACATGTCACTACAGACACGGGCATAGCAAACGTTTTTACTGAGTTTGACCGTGAACTGGGATTCATAACAGGAACAAGTCTGCTATTTTAGGGGCGCAATTGGTGCCCTCACGAATACCTACAACATGTCAATAAACTTTATTGCTGAAACATACATGAAGGTTGACAAGGAGAACATTTACAGCTTTAATTATCTTATCACACTTCCAGTAAGTATATCTAGCATAATTAGAGAAGAAGGCTTAATATGAATTGCAGCAAATAAATTAGAAATCAGATTATTCAAACGACCATTTAATTAAATGTTGAGAAAATGGGTGAGGGGTACAAAAAATGATTTTACCAAAAAATATGTACATCCCATATCAATTTTGTCTTTTCAAAATTCTCAGATATGTATTTTTTCATTGATAGCAAAGAAGTTAGAATAAAATGATTTTTGTTTTAAAAAATAAGGAAAAATCCATAATTTACAAAATTGACAAAATGGTCAATTTGATATGAAAAAGCAACAAAATTTTATAAAATTTCTAATATTAACACCAACCTATAGATTTTTTAAGTTAAATTTATTCAGATTGGTTCACTTCATCCTAAGTGAAAGTGTGAAAAAAAGTTTAATTGTGAAACTGATTTTTTTCATGATAATAGCCCTAAAATGGGTAAAAATTGATGAAAAATGGGAAAATCATTAAAAATGGTGTACTTTCAAATGGCCGTAGCAAAAAAAAAAGGTTCACCACCATATGATTTTTTTCTTCACCAATTACTTTCTTACAGTCATATAAACCCAAAAATCAGGTTAAGAAAAAAGTTTAATTCTAGAAATGTTAGGCTCCTCAGAGGTGTACATCCTTAAGTCAGGATTTCGTTACCACAACTTACTTAAAACCTTTACTAAATCTTTTCGTAGATACAGATATTAAGTTTGGAAGTTTAGCTGTACCTGTAGAACAATTATAACAAACGGAATAGCACATTGTAATTTGAACGATGATGTAGTATACCAAGCCCGTAATTTTAGTTACGATCCGGGTAAACTTATCGATCCTTTCAAAAAACTTATTCTAAAAGGTTACCAATTCAACACTGTTATTAGATCTTTGAATATTGTTTTTATTGGTATAAATATTGATTTGTTATCAATAAATTAAAAGCCGACTAAATATTATTGTTATACACATGTGTACATTCACGGTCCAACAATTTGTCGATACCTATATTTTGGCATTGCTCAAGATCGTGTTTTTCTCAGACTGTTAATGACGTCTTAACACTAATCCATTGATATGTACTAATTGATATTTTAGTCAATGAGACAACTCTCCACCAGAGACCAAATGACACAGATGTTAAGCCCTTTTAAACTGATTTTATAGTTTGTTCTTGTGTTGTGCTGTTACACAACTGTCTCAGTTTAAGGGAGGGTTTGCGCGCCCGCAAACATGTTTAACCCCGCCACATTCTTCATGTGTCTGTCCCAAGACAAGAGTCTGTAATTCAGTGGTTGTCGTTTGTTACGGTATATCATATTTTTTTATTCGTTATGAACATAAATCAGGCCGTTAGTTTTATCGTTTGAATTGTTTTACATTTTTAAGTTCGGGGCCTTTTATAGCTTGCTATGTGGTATTGGTTTTGCTCATTGTTCAAGGCCGTACTTAAACCTATAGTTGCTAACCTTCTACTTCATTTGGTCTCTGGTGAAGAGTTGTTTCATTAGCTATACCATATATTTTTTATATTGGAACAAAAATTACACTCAGCCTAAGACCGTGCAAACACGTTTTTCTAATATATTCAATGGTCTTAAAAACCCACTTCGTTTTCAAATTTCAAAAAGGATATCTCTGACAAAAAATCTGCCATATTAAATGATTTATAAATCACAAATAAAATGTTAAACAGATATAGCACGAAAATATTTTAAATACAATGTTGATTATGCAATGGGTTTTAACTTCGTACCTGACTTGTACTGATATGAGGCAGATTTTAAACAAAGTCTTTATTCTTAAGACGAAAAAAAAGAAGAAAATATGATCCGGCAAAATACTTTAATTTTAACCAGAGATTATTTATGATTTTCTACAATCTCTTTCTACCGTCTAGTCTTAAGACTGTACGAAAATGAACTCTTTATGAAGGGCATTTCTATTTAATAAACGATATATTCATTAAAACACTTATTCGACCGTGTTTACTGTAGATTTGCATAAAGATAATTTGTATTGATATAAGAGCTGCTTTGTACTGTTGATTTGGAAGATTAGTTTAATTAAAGCTAAGCTACCTTCTTGAAATGAAGTATTCACTACTTACTTACTCGTAAGAGATTTCATGTCACAGCGATATCATATAACTGCAGCATCACTTCGCCGCTCCTTTTTTGGTCCGAGCAATCGTTTCAACAATTTGATTCTTTACAATATTTTCGTTGATACTGGCAATCCGACTACAGTTTGATACTTATTTAATTTTATTTAGTCTGTTATAGTACTGCTTCTTCTCTGAACATACTAGAAATGCATTGGTTAATCATATTAGTGTTGATGTGTGCTACCAGACAAACATTCACAATGTCAATACAAAATACAACATCGTCGGATGAAGAATTAATGGAAAAACGATTGGAATTACTAGAGTCTAAAATCGCTTCTCTAGAAAATGAAAGTAAGTGGTACAAATTTTTACAGCATGGATTTACTGTCAATGAAAAATTCATTGTTGTAGGTCATATGAAAAAGGACCATATAGCTCTCTGAGCTAGAGACTTTATCCATTGAAAGGACTTCCATTGAAAGGGCATCAACTATAATCTCTGTTAATTTTAGACATCAATTTAAGAAAAAGCTTTAAGACAAACGTGCGAGTGTGTGAAATTCAAGTCATGAGTACTTATTAATCGTTTTTGATTGATTGATTAATTGTTGTTTTAACCTACAGTGGCGAATATTTCATAAAGATTAAGGACGACAAAATAAAAAAAAACATTTTATCAACAAAAAATATTTCAGTCAGTGAAATCTTTTCTTGCTAATTGACTTTCGTGTTTTATTGCCGACATTTACCAAACGTGACCTTGATAAAGAATCAACACATAATCATGGAGCACGTGTAAAATAAGTGACATGATATACATGCAATATAGTCTTAGAGAGCGATGTTTTATTTTATTTTTTTTATTTCCATGCGTTTCTTTTTGATAATTAAACTTTGACATAAATGTTGTTTAATGATTTAGTGTACAATTGTTTGTCTTTCAGAATCAATTAACAGTATATAATTGTAACCACGTGTTTTAACCTTTTCTTTCATCACGGTTTTTCCCTCGGACTTGCCCTGTGCGGTTGCCGAGGGTCTCACGCTTAAGGTCACTGCATACGGAAAAGCTATCGGCGAATAAGAGTACGGGAAGACAATAATGCAATAGCAGTACATTTCTGAAGATTTTGATAAGAAAAAGATTTTATTTTAAAAGAAAATTTATGTACACGTGTTTTGTAGTAAAATTCAATTATATAAAATATTTTAAACTTTTTTTTAATCTGAAGTATTACATGACTTTAAGCTATCAATATTAACGCGTAGAGGCAACAGACTTCGATTTTTTCATTGAAAATTGTTACTGTTTAGACTACTATTTTAATAGACATTTCACGGTAGGCGCAGTTTTTATGCATGTTTATACTGAACTTCACAGAAAAAACGCTTAAATATATAAAAAAAAAAATTACAATTACTTATTTCTTGGTATCACATGGAGTAGTTCTATAACATTTCTTATTTTAATTTTTATTTTGAATTATACATGTATTTTTTGAAACAAATTAAAGGCTTTAGTTATTTAATGCTATCCATATTAAAATATAAAAATAAGGAGATACGGTATGGGTTGCCAATAAGACAACTCTCCATCACAGTTCATATGAGGTAAATATAAGCAATTATAGGTCCCCGTACTGCTTCAACGATGAGGGAATAAAACATACTGTTTAGTATTAGTTTAGCAATAAAAGGATCCAACATGAAAAATGTGAAACAATTCACATGAAAAAAACTAATGGCTAATTTATAACAAAACAGTTTACAAAAAACAAAAATGCCAGACATTAAACAATGACAACAACTTAACTACAGACTCCTGACTTGGGACAGGCACATCAAGAATGTGGCAGGGTTAAACATGTTTGTGATCGCTCAACCCTCCCCTAAACAGGGACAATGTCTGCCATATTGATAATTTAAGAAAACTTATTTTACAATTCGCAAATTTGTCAATTTCCAAATTGAATAATTTGATGCAACTAAATTTGTCTTGGAGGCCAATGAATAAAAGAACATGTGGTACATGTATATACGTCAGTGACACAGCAACCATATGACAAAAAAAAAAGCAAAATGACATGTTAAGATCAACATACGGTCTTCAACAATAGACAGGTGTAATACAATATGTCAAGATCTAAATCGCAAAGAGTCTAAAAATGTTCAGGAATTTGTCGGAGACTGTTAAAGACCGTAAATTGCAATTGATAGGTCTTTTTATTACAGATTTTCTTAATCAGTTTGCGAAAAAGGGTGAATGGTGGATGTATTAAAATATCAGGGATTTCGTCCACCTTAGAAGCTAATTTTGTTTTGCTGGATCACGCTTACAAATATATTAAGCATCATATAGGCAAAGATGTAAAGGTGTTTGAAGTTAGATTTATTTGCTTTTCGTTTTTTGTAGGGGGGAGAGGGTCTGCTTTTGTTTGTTTGTTTGGTGCTTGTCCTCAGTTATCTTTGTACATGTTACCAAAAGTACCATCATGATGAGTACACATGTTCATCGTTTTGACAAGACATCACTGTCTCGGATTAAAGGAAAATTAAGGATTCATAAATATCACATTGTACAAAATAGTAATGCATTAATATACAATTCATACAATAGTATACCTATCCAAAGGCATGTAGTTAAGTGGTTGTTTTCTTCCTATCGCATCTGTTTTTCTTTTTATGGCGTTTCGTTAAATAAGAAAAATTTTTGTACAATGATAATTTCGGGCAAAATATGTAATTCCATATAGCAAATAATTCAGCTAAAACCACAGGTTAGAATCTTCTTGAACTTGCAGAGGTGCAACATTTCATAACTTATCTTTACGATATATGTAAAGTACTGTAAATTATAGCTGTTTGACCTTATATTGTAAATGAATGTCAAATGACTAATTGTTCGCTATTTACTGATACTGATGTTTGTTCAATTTGACGAATTATGAATCTATTTCACTATCACATTTTCACCTACAAATTATGTAATAAATATTTGGCTGTTTTATAGGTTTACCTTTCTTAATCGTATCATTGTAGTCATTTTGACTTGCATTTCAGTCAATTTTAAAGGGAAGATAAATGATCTTCTATAAATATAAATAAATAAATAAGGTTCATAAGACAAGGTGAACTTATAAAGCCTACTTTTAAAACATTCATGGACACACTCCTCAAGTAGCTTGGAATTTTTTTGACAAAGCATCAAAATGAAGGATGTATTTGTTATACTTTTATGATATAGTTCTATGACTTTGTGCTGTGGAGGAAGCAAAAACCTCCTGTTTTGAATAATTTTGATTTTTTTGGGTATATTTTTGAAGGGAAAACTCAACCAGTATAATTCTAAGATGCCGACTCGGGTCCCCACTCCTCTGTGTCAATGACAGACTTTTGTCGGATGAAAAAGGACGAACACGCCTTTGTCAGAACAACTGGTCAAAGTGGCAGCAATTATATCTACAGTCATGATAATCTAAATTGTTTTTTGTACAACGAACATCCTTCCTTGGAATGTTGATTAAAGCAGATTGAAACACGAAATCCTTTTGTGAAATTAAATGCACTTCATAAAAATATTAAAACGGATATATAATATTTATGTGGAAAAAATACACACTGAAAATGCACTAAACACTTCTTCAGTATGAATAACTACATTTTGTCAATTGAAACATCAAATACTATCAAAAATGTTTTTCGTTTTTTGTTTATTTTCCCTCTTTTCAGTGCATAGGGTGGACAAATTTATAACTATTCACTATATGATAGTTTTCAAAGGCTTCTTACATTATTAATGTAGGTATCATAAATATATGCGAAATAATTACGGTTGACATACTTGGGGAGGCCTGTGCTACGAATGATTCCGACAACAAAGGTAGGCGTGTTATACACCATTGTGTAAATAAATCAATTTAGATTTACGGCATAACAAGTTTTAGTGGGGTAGCCAACCGAGAAATCGAAATATAACGGAAATTCGCGACCGGTGACATTTTTCAAAGATGCGAGTTAAGTACCTTGTGTTATATTAAGGTATATAGGATTTTTTTTTCAGAGACAAGTGCCTGTGTATTGAGTACACAGTAGAAAGTACTTTGATCTATTCAGTACTCAATAGAAAGTTCTTATCAAAATACTCATGAAATGTGAGTTTGGGTTTTATTAACTTGTTAAAAATAAAACCTAATATTATCACAAAATGAATTGCACGTGAAAATATCCACATCAATATTTAAGATTTGAACTCATTTCACAGGGGAGACATTTGCATTTATTATACTTGATGTCAAAATGCCATATTTTGATTGGCTAATACGAGGGTGTTAATTTACTCTATTACCCTTCATGGAGACGCTTGATCAAGTGTGCGCTTTATTAAATACGATTCTATCTTATGGAAAATACTCTATTACCCTTCACGGAGACGCTTGATCAAGTGTGCGCTTTATTAAATACGACTATATCCTATGGCAAATACTCTATTACCCTTCACGGAGACGCTTTATTAAGTGTGCGCTTTATTAAATACGGATGGTTGTTATGTACAAGACGTCATAGTTTTTTTACTTTGAATTTGAAATTTAATCGACAGTAATAACAGAACATTCAGTATAATAAATTAAATAACACATATCTGAGAGGGTGATAGAGCAGATTGTTACCCCTCGAAAAGACATTGTCAACCTTGGCTTCGCCTCAGTTGACAATGTTTTCTCGGGGTAACAATCTGCTCTATCACCCTCTCAGCTATGTGTTATTTATATAGTTACACAGAATTATTGGTGTATCTGTACCGATAAAATTGTTAATTCCTGTTCTTCGAAATGGGTTGACTTGTATTTATACAACGAACACTTCAAAGAAAAAAATGTTTTACATTAATGGTATAAAATGTGTTAGATGGTCATGCTTGCAAAAAATTTATAACAATCCGCTTTTCGGACAACTTTAACAAATGTAAACAAAACATAAACTATGATAACTTTCATAAAAGGAGGAAGATGATACCAAGAGCGCAATAAATAAAAACATAAATCACTTTTTGATATATATCTTCTGGATCACATTGGATCTTATTTAGATGAAGACACAAGAAAAAGATTAAATGCAAACAAATGTTCGGTTGAAACGATTTTAACTCCTGTTCGTAATTCTACACATCTGGCATCTCAATTTGACAAAGTCAATCATATTAGATACTAACGACATAGATAGAAAGTAACATACTACATGTAGTGCGATTTGAAGAAATAAGATTTCGTTTCTCTAAAAACTGTGATCAAATTTACAGTTCAAGACATATGCTCGAGACTTTTAGGTAAAAAAACGATTATTAAATTATATCC